TGAGATCCGAGGTTCGCTCGGGCGAGGACGAGGGGTATCCCAGACCACCTCCTAGGGGATGGACATGCGTTATTCACGGAAGACGTTAAGTCGTTGTCGGCTTGCGCTAAGGAGGACCGTCATAGTTTACCCTTTGTGGCCGTCTTAGGAACCACAGACGAATGGAGAACTGACGCCATAAGAAGCCCAGTTCGTGTTTTCACTAGCTATGAACGGAGTGCGACTAGGCACTATCTTCGCGGATAGGGTTGCACCATAAGAAGTGCAAACCTGAGGTGATCAGACTAGTTGACGGAAAGATGTGAATAGAGTATTGCTGTAAATATATTTATGTCGAAAGCTGGTACTTTGGAACAGAGAGAGTAATTATTGTCCAGGAGGACAGAGCGACCGACAAAGTTTGAAGGTGGATCGCTGACCTTAATGGGGCATCGAGCGTCCGATTGTTCGAGATGGTCGCTGATTTGTATAGGTGGTAGCCGAGTTATTTGCAGATGGCATTCACACCAAAGTTAGAGGAAAAGCGTGAAGTCATCATTAAAACAATGACACTCTAACTCTGCTTGAGAGTTGGGGTGCTCATATTCCGTGCTAGCAGTCAGTATGGGGCGGAATGAAAAAACTTGGCAACGCATCTCATCCAGTCGAAAAAGTCGTGACGGTCCAGCCGTCTGGCAGGCAAAGTGAAGATATTTTAGTTAGACGCCACTTGAGTGTTGCCTTGTGTATTGGTCATGTTTTGAGCTTTTATTGATAGGTGTTGTTTGAAGCCAAGTCAACCTTTGTCGTATACATGATTGTATTACATATAAGTTGATTTTGGAAGATAAGTCAACTTGCGTTGACCTGAGTCTTTTTTTTTTGAAAGGGTTTGTCTGAGTGACTCTTGATTGTCTTCGAAAGAAGGGACTAGGATCGCTAGAAGTCTTCTTTACGATTGGAACGTCACGTCCTAGTCGACCGACGTCGGTCCGATTCCTGGGAGATCAGCGCCTCAGGGACAGACGACGTTCGGGTCCACTTTGGCGTTTAACCATGCGTACCTATGCTACAGCGAACGAGCAAACGCCCTCGGTCGGCCCACCTCTGCAACTGCATTATAAAAGCCTTCGCATGTGGGTCGGTAGCTCGGCGGGGATACGCCCCTAAGGGTGGTGACAACCCCTTAGGGAAGGTAAGTTGTGCCCTGCGAGAACCTGTCCTGTCGTAGGGGACCGCGGGATGTAAAGTTGGCGCACTCGGCCGGAGCGGCGACGGGTTGACGCGGGTTACCGTGTTGTCCCCAAATTGTCTCTAAAAAGTTGGAAAGCTAAGTTTCTCCTGCGTGACGTGGCCGGGAGGGCCCTCGCTCGCGCGGGGGCCGATGCGCTCGACAGGTAGCGCCGTTGCCGGGGATAACAGCAAACTACCGTTGTCCCTGATGGAACGACACTCGGGAATGAAGCAAGTGAAAGATTGTGCCGTAGTGGTTGTCTAAGAAAAAAGGTTAGTAATCTCTGAGCCTTTATAAATGTAAGGAAGGAACCTTAATAGATGTCACCAAAACTCCTAGACTGATTTCTTGGGTTTATGTTTCTAGATGGACGGTGCCGCAGGACGTCGCGACAACGTCGACGATAGGAGGAACGACATTCAAGAATTGGCACGGGTCATTCGGCAGTCGTAGCGAGAGTCCTACCCCAAGATTGATGTTCCATTGTTCGATGGGAATCATGCCTCTTCTTGGGCAGACAAGTTTGAGCAACTCGAGTATAGCAACGAATGAACGGATAAGAAGATGCTTCGCATGGTAAAAAGGTATTGTCAAGTGGGGTCCCGAGACGAGATCGATGAGCAGGTGCAGATCTCTCGCGATTGGTCAGATTTTAAGGCGCGGTTGTTGGAGAAGTATCAGCTCAGCGATTGGTTGCTCGACCTGCAGGATTTGAGGGCAGCGGATCGTAAAAAGTTTGGTACAACCAAACAATTCTTGTCGGAGTTTGAGCGTGTGGCTCGCCTAATCCCGGATTTGTCCGACAAAGATCGCTGCCTCATCTTCCTTGATAACTTCAACGACGTCGAACAGTCGAAATTGGTTGAAGGGATGCAAGGGAGGTATGACTGGACTAAGGTCCGATAGAATGCGCTGGTGGGGAAGTTCGATGATATCCTCTACCGGTTGTTGAGGCAGCAAAAGGAGGAGCGGAAAAAGGTGAAGCTGGGAGAAGTAAAGGACGG